TTTCTCTTATTAGTCTATGTCAATTTAATTCTTAAGTTACCCACAGAAAACAAAGAGGGTAGAAGAAGGCTTTCCTCCCCTACAAGGTCTTTGTAAATAAGTGTGAATATGGAATTGCTTTTTCAGTTTCTAAAAATTCTTTTAAAAAAATTTAACCCAAATTCTTTGTCCATTCTTCAATGTTTCAAAAAAAATCAAAAATATTTTACCAGGAAAAAACGATCCTTTTCTTATGGCATTAAAGTTATGGGCCAGAACATGTGAAAAAAAAATTCAAAATTGAATATTCATGGTCAATAGGAGGTGCCATGTAGCCTGATTCTGTTCTTTCTTCAAAATTAGAAGGAAACCTGAAGGAACGATAGAAATTCATTTAACACTTTGTATAGAATCAAAATTTTTTTTAAAAATCCTGGAAATGGAAGGTACCTTAATGCAAACATCTCACCAAAAGCACAAATTCACTGAAATCCAACTCTAACAACTTCAGCTGATTTTAGGAATGTTGAGCTTACTAACTCTTAAGGTAAATTATTACTGTTATTTTTTTTTAAATTGAGCAAAGTACACTTTCTCATAAAATTTCTGCCATAATTTATATTTTTGCTTCTTAAAGTGAATGATAATCTTTGTAAACTTTCTTTAGATGACTACTCTTTAAATAGTTTGAGGTTATATAAATACATATATTTTCCATTTTAAATAGTCTCAGTTGTAACTATTTTTCTATATATGGGAGGATTTTCAGGCTAATCACTTTCCTGGTATCCGTATCTGAAGGTCCTTAGACCTTCCTATTATCTTTTATATTGTCTCACGCTATTACAAAGTCAGGAAAACCTTTCATAGAAAATAATCACCTGGATGGCCAAATTGGTGTTAGTATTACTAATACCGGTCTTGATGTTTTCTAACTATGAAGGTCAAGTTAGAGGAAAGTTTGTTGGTTGTATTCTATCCTAGTTTTTACCATATTCTTACAGTATTTTAGAATTTGTATTTTTATAAAATGTTATAATTTACAAATTATTTTCATATGCATTATATCCTTTAGATATAGGTAGGCTATGCTCAAATATTTATCCTTTAATTTGCATGGAAATTAAATTCAGTAAGATTAATGTGTTAGGAACTATACTATAGCAAAACATTGCAAGAGCCAAGACCAGAACCACATTCCTTTTGCTTTAACCTAATTTAATATCATTGTGAAGAGTAAGTTAAGGGAACATTAGGATCAACTGGAACCTTGTCTTACCATTTACTATATGTAACATGCATACAGACATGTGCCCACACACACACACTGAAACTTGTATTTTAGAGGTAGAGGGGACTTTAGTGAAGTAATAACTTGGGAGAAATGGCAAGAACATTAGACTGTATGTTAAACAGCAAGTTCTCTTAATAAACAACCAAGCCCAGAATAGTGCTGTGAAGTTCCAGTTACGGAGCACATTGTGTCTAAATCCAACTTGACATTTGAAATTACATGTGACCACCATGAAGCTTCTTACATATTCCAAAATGGCTTGGCAAAAGAATTAAATTACTATGGAGAGAAAGGATTAGCCACCTTGGTTACTTTTATAAAGATGTAATGGCAGTAGATACATGAGATATAAAAGTATTTAATTGGATATGAAAATAAATTAATCTTGGTATAATTTCAAAAGTTCTTTTTTATTTGGTACAACTTGGTCTGTCCATCACTCAACTTCATCTCTAATAAGCATCTTAAAAAAATATGACTGAGAAGTTTTAAGGTTTGGTGTTTGTATTGCTCAATTTTATTTAGTCTTAATGATTAGTAAGATCATATAATATGCCTGTATCTGAAAACCAACATGCAGCATTGAGCTAATGAATTAAAAGAGGTTGTTTCTTTAGTGTACCGTATAGTTGGTAAGCATTAAAAGCTTGATGATTGTATTATTAAGCCAGTGTGTAAATAACACACTTAGAATCTAATCCAACATGTGAGTTTATTTATTCAGTTCATTATCTGTGTGTTTGTATGTATGTGTGTATCTGTGTATGTCTTACAGCTGTTATTTCAAGAAACCAAGAAGGGCCAGGAGAAATGGGAAAGGCTGTGCTGATTCCTAAAGATGACCAGGAGAAAATGAAAGAGCTGTTTAAAATCAATCAGTTTAACCTCATGGCCAGTGATTTGATTGCCCTTAACAGAAGTCTGCCGGATGTAAGATTAGAAGGGTGAGTGTACATGTGCTATATAATCTTGGGTTTTGGTCATCCTTAAATTTCAGAATCTCAGAACTTCAGCTAATTCAGATTATAACAATTCTAGAACTGTATGGTTCTGAGTACCTATGACATAGAAGGAATTTACCGATCATGTATATGCTGAGAAAGATGAACTATTTTTTTTTTTTTTACAGAGCAAAACATGTTACTTGCAGAATACAGACCTAAAAGGTTTTTCTTCATGAGATGTTTTTTTTGTTTGTTTTGCTTTATCTTGCCAAATACAGAGCAAACATGCTTTTTAATAGATTATTTGCTTGCTTGCATAAGAAGTTATAGATACTTTGCTTTGAAAAAGTATACGCTTTGCTATTCCAACATAAAAATAGCCAATAGCCTGTATGATGCTTTGACCCTTTAAAAATTATTTATTATGGATTCCA